CTAATTTGGCCCTTCTTCAGAAAAGGTTGTGCATCCCTGATATTACATATTACTTTCCTGGCTGTATATATAGCAGGGGGAATATATGGCTATAGGTCAAAAAATGACCCCCCAGATTTTTACATTTTTTGGACTCAGGATACTTTGAAACATTGAGAAATGCAAAAAAATTTGGGGGTTTTTCTGTATGTATGGATTTTAGTGTGTGTGTGGGGGCATGATTTTGTTCACACTCTTTGAAGCTTAGTAACTCCTGTGCTTTTTGTCAAATTTCTGAAATTTTGCAGGAAGATTTGTTTATTAGGGGAATTGATGTTATTAAATTTTGATGGTTAAAGGTTGACTGAGTGGGGAGATAATGGGGGTCATTTGTATCTCCACTATCTACTAAAACACGTCCCTACCCTCAAAATTAAGCTTTTTGCCATTTTATAATAGTTAAAAATATAAAAAGTTTTTTAATAAAATATCATAACAGATGGCATTATCAAATGTTGTTGGGAAAGTTAAGCAACTCATTGCTGGATTTTTTAAGGGCTATTGGAAACCAAAACTTTGCATCTTAAAGTAGTAATTAAAGATTGTAACTTAATGGTATTTGTATGTATGTAAATTAATATTTGGATATGACAGATAACTGTACATCCTGTTCATTTACTTAAATGAAAAAGTTGGTTGTAACTAATGTATTGTTAAAGTTATGAGAAGTTGTATAGTATAAGAATAAAAGTGATTTAGATAATATTGGAAAATTGTCATTGCTTTTTTTTAAAAAAGCCTGTGAAGTGAGGTTTTGTTGAAATGATTTTAAACAGAAATAAGAGAACCAAGAAAGTATGTTATAAACAGTATCATAACTAGACAAGTGCAATAGGTGCACAGGCATAGCTCAGTACAAAGGAGCCCTGAATTGAATATTACAAAAATGATCAATATTATACAGTTAAACCTTGGTTTTCAAACATAATTCATTCCTAAAAGTTGTTCAAAAACAAATTTGTTCTAAAACTGAAACAAATTTTCTCATAAGAAAAAACATAAAAGGGATTAATCCATTCTTGACCCCAAAACAGTCTTTTTTTTTTTACCTTTTAAGCCAGCCATGTCCAACCTGCGGCCCACTCAATGTTTTTGTGTGGCTCTTTTAAAACAGTAATTATCTTGTATAGATTTTTATTACAATGAAATATCACATCTTTAATTAAATACATTAATATGATGTATAACACCTTATCACGTACACTCAGAAATTAAAACAGTTAATAAATATTTTTTTTAACAAAGCTTAAAATATATGAATGAAAATGACCAGAATGTTCCAGAATTATATGATAGTGACTTTTGGATTTATGTTTTTTTTTTTCAGATATGACAATGAAATTAAATGAACTTAATAAGCAGCTTGAAGGTGAAAACAAATTGATCACAAACTGGTATCAAAATATAAAAGCATTCATAGCTAAACTGAAACTTTATGAAAGTCAGTTAAAATCAAAAGCTACAATCCATCTTCCAAAATTACATAAATTTAATAGTGACAAAAAAAATTTTTCTAAATATGCACAAGAAATTACTAATTTACTAACAGAATTTCAGGAGAAACTTTCATATTTAAAGAATTATGAGAATATATTTAAAATTTTCTTATGTACATTTGACATTGTTGTTGAATCAGTTCCAACAAATTTGCAGATGGAGTTAATAGATCTCCAGTCATCTTCTGAATTAAAATATATGTTTGAGTCCAATGACAAAGTTCAGTTTTATACTATTTTGTATAAACCTGAACTTTGTCATTGGACTCAAACATACATTTGTCTGTAATGATAACTTCCCTAACCTAAAAAAAAACTGGTGATGAGCATTACAGCTGCAATGAGAATCACCTAGCTTTGTGAATATTTTTCTTAAAATTGTAGATTGTTAAATGTAAAAGTCGTAATAAATTGACTGATAAAAAATTAGAAAACCAATTATGTTGTACAACATCATACCTGTTGATATTAAAAAATTAAGTGAAAAAATTGAAAAGCACACTTCACATTAAAATACATACAAAATACTGTATAACTGTATATGTTTTGTTGTAAATAAATCCAAGGGGCCAAACAACTCTTCCATAATAGACAGGTTTACATTACATACAAGTTACCTACTATAGGTATCCATTGATTAATTAATGTGATTAATAAATTTCTCAATGTTACTGCATATATCAAAATTGCATTAATCAAATAGAGTGGTACCTCAGTACTTGATCGAACAATAACCATCCACTACAAAAGATTTTTGTTAATAACAAATATTTTTATTTCAACTTTAATTTTTTAATTCATCCATAAAAAGTTCTCTAAGATAAAATGAATAACAAATTTCAAAAGAAAATAAAACCTTACAGCTGCCTATCTTCGTCAGACTAAATTATACTCAATTCAGTTCATTTTTTCATAAGTGGAAAAAAAACAAACAAACTATATGCGGAACACAATCATCAGCATATTTTACAACTTTTTCAAGTGGATGACATGTTTCAATAATATGTGTCTGTGATATACTAAGATTTGTTGCAAATTCATGAGTTGTTATTTGTCAATCTTTAACAATTTCTTCCTGCAATTTCTCTTCAACAGCTTTTGGGATTCCATATGTTTCGTATCCTCCAGTTCAAAATTTCCCAAACAAAACTTTCAAAACCACATTTGACACATTTGGAGTTTAGAAGCATCTTCCCTGTAAACTGTACAAGTATCTTTTACTATTTGTACAGTGTGATATCTTTTACGAAACTTAAAAGCATGCCTATAATAGGTAACTGTATATGCCCGATATGCGTTTTATCTGCAGACATTTCAACTTGATTGTATTCAAACGAAATGTGATGTAAAAAAAGTTTAAAATGAGCTTCAAAACAAAGGATACAATCTCACATCAGGAATAATATGTTAAATTTCACAACTTGTAATTACATCACATATTTAAGTAAAAACAACTATTGATAAAAATATGCAAAAACATTCCATTTAAATCCTATTAAAATTACTGTAATATTAGCCATAAAGTATTTTGCTATTCTGTATTGCATGTATGTATTTTTTTACTTTTTTTTTTATAATTTATACATGCTGGGCTTATAAACATGTTAAATTTGTGTTAAGATACTTATTTTTCCATTATACGGCCTGATTTTCTTTACCATTTCCATGTTAGACAGGTTCTGCTATATACAGGTTAATTTATATTAATTTTTGCAAAAAATTCAAGGAACCAAAGAAATTTTCCATTAATTACAGGTTTTTGCTATATACAAGTTTGACTGTACATGGTTTGGACACATCCAGTATATGGAACTTCATCTGCTTCCATTATTCACACTAAATGGTGATCTCATAGCAAGCCAAGAGGAGGCTGACTTGAAAGAGAGAAATGGTTTCTCAGCTATAAGACAGACAGAAATATTGATTTATCAGGGACTTTATTTATCAAAAGACCTATAGTTTAATCAATCAGATTGATTAAAACTATGCAGATAATCTATTTTAACAATAATATTTTGGTTTAGTTAGAAAGCAAGCAGCACAACATAAGAGCAATTTTAAATTCATATATTCATTCTAAATACATTAAGATAGCAGAGTGTATTGTTGGACTGAAAAACTACATATCTAAGGTGAATTTCTCGAAAAAAATATTTTCATTTTTATAATAAAACTACTGTTTTAGACAAAACAAATAGCAAAATTAATCTTGTTTGATCTAAAAAAATTTTTCCAAAAAATAAATATTTCTGATTACATATTAAAATTCAGTTAAAGTATAATATAAACATATATTGGACAATTTTTTTAAATTTTAATATATATGTGAATGTCTGGACATTTTTTAAAAATCATATATATATATGATTTTAAGTTGCATAGAATATATAAAATTTTGTTCATTTGAAAATTCAAATTTGTTGGAACACAAATTTAAATTTAACAGATATTTTCTAAATTTGGTATGAAAATAATTACAGTCAATTTTGTACAGAACTGAAAATATTTTGTTTAAAATTATATAGCTTGGCACATTTTGTATGAGAAAAGTACACTGCTGAAAAAGTAAATATATATTTATCTAAAATAAACAAAGATTTCACCCAAATCTATTAGTTTTTATTATATATGTATATATTAATATTTTAAATATTCACTTAAAAGTTTCCCAATTTAAATATAATTTTATTTAACAATTATATATGTATAAATATTTAATAATTAAATATGGAATTGTTTTAAATTTAAAACAGTCTCTTTTTAAGAACATACAGGACGCATGCGAAAAAGAAAGCCAATGCTAGAAATATCAATACTTTGTCAGTGAGTTCTCGCCGATTGTACTTAGTCAGCAACTTTCTTGATTGATGGATAACATTTCCCATATTTTTCAATTCTTCATTTGTATCTCCAACAGAACTAGATGAATTTACTGTTAATTAGGTATTATAAATTAATTCATAAAATCCATAAATATTAACAAATTTAATTTTATATTTTAAAATATTTGAATAAATTATAACAATATCTTTATGTTTAAAAAATCTATTTAACCAATTCTAATTTATAAATTTCAGAAACCTTTAAATACTCAAATTTCTTTTTAGAGAGTCCAAAATATTAAGAAATTTGAAAATATTTAGACTACATAAAACTCTGATGCCTTAATATAAAACTATTTCGCATAATCAGGAGCCAGAACTACATGAAATGAAAATTTTGATGATTTGATATCAAAATTCAAATTATTTGTAAAATTAAAATTATTATTTACTGAATCAAATTACAATTTTATATTTATATATTATACTGTAAGAGTAATTTCCATATTCATAATCTGTGATTAAGAGTCAGAATAAGAAATTAACCAATTATTGTTCAGTTTACTTTAAGAAAATGAAAACTTAATAGCTATCATAATTTTATTTCAGATAAAAATTGCTAACTAATAAATATTAAAAATACTTATGAAAATAGAGTTTAGAGCAATTTTCCCATTGGTAAGATCATTATGGAATTTTATACATTATGTGTTTTATCATTTTAACTGGTAAAAATATTAAAATCTAATGAAAACAGAAATAATCTTCATGTTTTAAATGAATAAATAAATTTATATTTCTACAGTTGAGTGTGACTTGTCTACTTGGACTTTCTTTTTAACTAGGACTCATTACATTGAAGGGAGTGAACCCATTCAAATTCGTATAAAAAATCTCTATTGTAGCCTTAACCTCAACACACAAAATAAAGGATTAGAAGCATGTATCTTAATGATATTTCTACATTTTTAATTATTTTATTAATGTATTATATAAGTAACTCCTGACTCTGATTCATGATCCTGAATTATGAATAAAGATGCAAAAATGTTCTTGATTAAATAAATTTTAATAGATATTTATAATCATTTATACATATTGTTAAAATCATTAAATCTTAGGCATTGATGTCAAAGAAATAATTTCTTTAAAATTATATAATTTTCATCCTATGTATTTTTAATTGGGAGATTAAAAATCAATCAAAATTTATCTATTATTAATTTAATAAGAAATGTTGATTATGAGAAATTTTGCATATTTTTAATAGAATGATTAATACAAATAAATATTTCAATATTAATATAAGAAAGATATAATAATAATAATAATGCAATGTTCTTATTTCCTGGAGAGTAAATTTTAATATCTTTTCACAGACAAAAGTATGTCTATTCTGGTTCTGTTAATTAATTCAACATTATTTAAAACTAATACTTTTAATTTTCAAAACAAAAATTAAAATCATAATAATAATAAATGACAATGAGAACATACCTAAACTATGTAATGTGTCTTCACTTTGTTTAACCTGACTAGCCATCATTTTACTAATACTAACTAAATTATCAGTTATACCTGAGGCTGTTTTTGTTAAACTTTCTTTGTCAGCTCTTTTTCTAAAATGAAATAAACAAAATATTAATATTTTCAAAACAGAAAAGTCCGTAATAAGATAATTAAATTCTGTACTAATGTTTTAAAACTTACCTCCTGACATTTGCTGGTCTCCTGAAAAGTTCTGTCTTATTGTTCTTATCTATTCTCATTTGACAATCAAGATTGGCTTTCCTTAAAGCAAACTGATTACTAGAAAAATAAAATTTTAAATTTTATTTTGTTTATCATAATTTTATTTCAGATAAAAATTGCTAACTAATAAATATTAAAAATGCATATGTAAACAGAGTTCAGAGCAATTTTCCCAATGGAAAGATCATTTTGAATTCTTAATCTGTTATGTGTTTTATCATTGTAAACTAATCAATCAATCAATCAATATATTTTATTAAGATGTTTCAACAACACATCTCCTGGTTCCGCAAACAAGCATAGCCAGAAGTAAATAACAAAACAATAAATATTACAGCAATAAAGAAGAAATATAATGCTATTTACAATAATAGTATATCAAACATTATTTATGTCAATATTTAGTTTATATTTTAACATTTTTATGGTTATTTTTTTATCAAATTAACATTTATTTGTTTTCAGTTTTTTAAAAGAGATCACATAACATATATGATATTACAACATAATACGTAATAAAACATTTATATTTTGATATTCATTAAATCATAGAATATGTATTAATGTCCGTAGTATGGATGTTGCAAATTGGTTGCTTACATCAGCAGTATATCATAAAATGTTTCTGGTTCAGAGTAGGACCAATGTTCTGAATTTAAGTGCAGAGTCTTTAGTGTATACAGAACACTAGGTTTACATTCCAATTTCTTACTTCGTCGCTATTCACCTGTCGGCAGAGTTCTAACAGTTCTAACTGGTCTAATGTTGAGAACACTCGTCTTCCTGATTTCTGGCTCAATTTATCAAAATTTGTGGCAGTAGATCATACTGTTCAGTGAGCAAAGGTTGCGTTAATTCCGTTGTCAGTCAACATGATACGTATTACAAGTTTTTGTCCTCAATGTAGTATTACAATTGTACAGGAATATAATCCACAGAAGTAGACTATTCATATGGCATGAATTAATATCTTGTCCGACCTCACTGTAATAGGCTAAATCGTCTCCTTAAACATGAATATAAAGAATATATCTATAATTAATAAATATTTATTTTGTAGCAGACCTGGTAACCCCAAAACATCGATAAATTACTCTTATTTTATTAGAAACCTATCAATAATTAAATTATATATCATATATTATATTTTTAATAGGTTTCCCAAATAGTGTGTAAGACATTGTTTGTGATATATCTATATGACCCAAGACACAATAAGCATATATATTAGTCAAAAAGAACCAACAAAGCAAAGACGAACAGGGTTAGTTATTAATAATTTGACTATTGATAGTATTGATGCTATTTGCAAGTTTGGTAAATGCTTTATAAATGTTTTCATCAGTCCAAATATCGGATAGGTTACCTGGCCATATTATGCCTCGTTCCTCCATAAGAAGTCTCAATTCTAATCTTTCTCTAGTAAACATAACACAGTGATAGAGGTAATGTTCCGATCCATCAGTTATGGAACATGTGGGGCATAAGTCATTCCCTCTATTAGTAAATCGTGTCAAATAAGAAGCAAATTTGCCATGATTAGTGAGCACTTGTGTCGTATTGTAGTTTGGGGAGAACCACTTTAAATTATAAAATTGTTTTAAGTTCGGAATAAATTTGTACGTTATATGGGAGTTATTTTCATTCCAATCGTTTTGCCACTTCATAAAAGTTTCCTCCCATATCAAGCGCTTTAGTGTCTTCATACTAAGTTTGTTATATTCAATTGATAGATTCGTGTTTTCCGCAGCTTGCTTCGCTAAGATATCCGCCCTTTCATTACCGGTGACTCCTTGATGTGCTTTAACCCAAAGGATTTTAATAGTACACGTAGAGATTCGTAGTAAGTTTCTAATCTCTTCAACTAAGGGATGTAGTTTGGAGCTAAAAATTATATTATAAGCTGAATAGGAGTCAGTGTACAAATGTATGTAAGCATTATTTTGGGTTTCTTTTATCCATGTAATAGCCATCTTGATTGCATATAGTTCCGCTTGGAATATAGTACAATTTTCATGTAGTCTAAAAACTTTATTATACGCTTCAATGTTATTGATATATACAACATACGAAGATCCTACCATTCCATCATGCTTTGAGCCGTCTGTGAAGATATCCATATCCGTATTGTGAGTTTGTATGTTATTACATTCCAGAGGGATGATATAGTTGTTTGTTTCTCGAAAACAAAAAGGCCATTCAATGTCATCATGTTGGATATTTATGGAGTCAACTTGAATATTTGTTCCCCATTTAATTTGTTGTAGTTTCCGTTTTTGTCTAATATGTAAGTCTAGGGGAGGTTTCTTGGCAATTACTTGGAGGCAGACGTTACTTACGGTGCGGAATGCTTTGGTTATTATTAATAAAGCCCTTCTTTGCGATGATATTAACCTTCTTTTAGAATGTACTTTTTCCGTGGCCCAACCCCAAGTTCCGCATGCATATGATATTATTGGGAGATATAAACTGTCGTATATGGTAGACATGGCTCCAGTCGAAAGTCCCCAATCTCGTTTGGCTACTTGAGAAAATGAGTTGAGGATAAGGCCCGTTCGATTAGTTATATGTTCAATATGTTTATCCCAATTTAGACGATAGTCTAAAATTACTCCGAGATATTTTAGAGTTTTGTTGACTTTTACAGTATTACCATTCATTTTGATGCTGGGTGGTCGTAGATAAAGATTCGCTCCACCTGGTCTATTAAATACAATTGCCTGGGTCTTTTTCGGATTAAATTCTAACTTATAATTTTGTCCCCATTCAAAGACTTTGCTTAGCATATTATTACTTTTATTTTCCAAATCTGCTCTGGATTGACCACCTGTAAGTAGTATTACGTCATCTGCATACGCAATACAACCCATATAATCAAAGTTTTCTTGTAAAAATGCATCGAACATGATGTTCCATAATATTGGGCCACATACCGATCCTTGTGGACAACCTTTAGTTATGTTCTTAAAGACCTGATGTTGTCCATATTGGAGAATGGCTGTTCGGTTCCTTAGGTAGTCTTGTAATAGTTTATATATATTATTGGGACATTTTATCTTGCGTAATTGAAACAGTAATAGGGGCCACCAGGCACTATCGAATGCCTTAGAAATGTCAAGGCTGACCCCTATTACGTATTTATATTCATTCAGTAGCTGTTTAACTTTACTAACTGTAGATTCTATAGCGTCTTCTGCAGACATTTGAGGTCGGAAACCGTATTGTTTATTGTTCAGACTATTATTATGTTCCACGTACCAGGAAAGCCTATTGGTTATGATTTTTTCCAGTATTTTCCCCATAACTGATATTAATGAGATTGGTCTTGCACTGTTAGGTGCACCGGGTTTTGGAACTGGTATTATTTTAGCTGTTTTCCATGCTTTTGGAAAGATGGCATTTCTTAAACAGACATTATATAAATTAGTAAGGAGCCGTGGGATAAGAAACCATAGCTTCTTGGCTAATTCCGGTGTTATCTCGTCCATTCCTGGGGCCGTCCCTACTTTTAGATTACTGAATGCTAGCCTGATCTCCATGTCGGCAATGGGAGGCATGTCTTCTGCTTCATATTTATCATTTATTGTTATTCGAATAGCTTTTTGCAATTCATTGTCTGTACTAGGGTCATCTTCAGGGCAATATGTGTCTAGCTGTGAAGACAGTTCTTCTATAAGTGTCCGTGGTTCAGTTCGATTTTCCAATGAGGTAGTCATTATTGTAGTTTTCCGTAACTTATTGCTGCATAATTTTGTAATATATCCCCATGGGTTCTTTGAGGTGATGGTGCAAAAATTCTGCCAACTGTGTGTTTTCTCTTTTTTAATTAGTTCCTTGTATATTTTTTGACTGCGAAGATACTCATTTCTTCGTACAGTACGTAATTGATCATTTCTGCAACGCTGGTACAGTTTTCTAATTTTCCTTGTTTTCTTACGCAACTCTTCTAATTCTTGTGACCACCATGGTACCGATTTCCTAACTGTTGTGCATTTTGGAATAAAATTATTACAAGCTTGTTGTAGTAAATCTATATTTTTATCAATTTGACTAGTAGCAATGTCTTGATCTATAGAGTAGTTGGTAATCCAATTTATTTCAAGGTAATCCTTCATTGCAATCCAGTCCACTTGGTTAAGTTTATATTTTGTGCGCTCATTAAATGTTTGATTGATGCCAGAGTTGTCAATTATAATTTCAAAGGATATTAGAGCGTGATTAGTAAGGCTGTCCTCTTCTTGAACAATCCAGTTAGTAATTTTGGGGGACATGCTTTCGTTGCAGATGGCAATATCTATCCAACTTTCACCTCGGTGTGAGGTGAAGGTTGGAGGAGATAACGGGTTATTTAAGATATATAAGTTATTTTGTCCAATAAACTCTTCCAGAATGGTCCCCCGCTCATCCAGTTTGTCACCTCCCCAAGCAGGGGAGTGAGCATTAAAATCGCCGGCAATGATTATATTCGATGATTTAAAAGCATTTATAATCCATTGTAGTTTGTTAATTAATCCCTCAGAGTTTTCCCATCCTGGTAGATAAACATTTATTAGTATAATTCTTTTCATGTTTAACATCAATTCTGTAACTACAAAACTACAATCATTGTAAACTGACAAAAGTTTAAAAATCTAGTTGAGACAGAGAAATAATCCTCATAAGCACTTTAGATGAATAAATAAATAAATTTTTTTTATTGCCAATGAGGGCATGATGGTTGGGATGGATGAATGGTCAAATGTGGATATGATCAGCACTGAGACAGACTCTCTGGTTACAAGAAACTGTTTATTTAACACAAAAGGAGCTTACAACTTTGACTGACTTTGGGCTTCCAAGATCATGGAAATTTTGTAAGATTTCCAAACAAATGAGTATCTCTGGTTCATGAGTGAGTGTTTTCTCAACATCTCTGGGACAATATGGTCAACTTCAGGTAATGGGAAAATGTCGATCCGAGGAAGAGAAACAAAGACAAAGATAGACATGAGATAGACAGACACACACACACAACAATTGGTTCAACACTTGGAATTTCAGAAGCAGCTGTCATGTCCTTGAAATTCAGGATTAT